TGTTAGCAGAACCCAACGGCTTAGCGCTTTGTTTGAAATTATATACAGGACGTTATAACTCTGCAGGTGTTATACTATGTAGGTATATATATGGTTATACTAGGTGTCGACAAACGTGAACAGGCTATTTACGCACAATTTCATAGCTTAGCAAAACCAAAACCAAATTTAAAAAAAGATTCATGGTACTGTTTCTTGTATGATGAGGATAGAGTGGCTGATATGCGCAAGTGTGTTTGTTGTAATAAAATCCACAAGGAAAACAAGGAAAACAATTCCTGTAGCTGGCTGTATACCACGTATCACAAAAAAGAGGTTAGTCTTCGTAAATGGGTATATTTATTTAAAAACCCTTAAAAGGGCTACATAAAAAAACAAACGTTTTCGGACTAAATAGTCCATCATCAGGTTTAAAATTTTAAAATTGCCTAAAATAAGTATAAACCATTTAGTTTAAAACAAACGTGGTTATGAAATTTTGACTATGGTTAAAAAGCAAAAATGGTTATACTTACAAGGTTATAATGCCTGAGCCACCAAAATAGAAATAAAAATAAAAGAGGTTTGCTCTCCGGCTTTGGAACTCAATTCAGTCATGTATGTTACCTGAAGTCAAATTTAATTTAATACTGAACATCACATGTTTTTTACAACATGATGTATAATCTTTTACAACTATATGTAATTTAAAGGGTTTTTACCCAGGTATTTTGGTGGCTCAGGCATTATAACCTTGTAAGTATAACCATTTTTTTTAACCATAGTCAAAATTTCATAACCACGTTTGTTTTAACTAAATGGTTTATACTTGTTTTAGGCAATTTTAAAATTTTAAACCTGATGATGGACTGTTTAGTCCGAAAACGTTTGTTTTTTTTTATGTAACCCTTTTAAGGGTTTTTAAATAAATATACCCATTTACGAAGACTAACCTCTTTTTTGTTGTAATAAGTATATCCACGAGGAATGTATAAGATTAACAAAAGACGACAAGGATATATTTGTATGTCCTCAATGTGTGTAAATGTGCGATATATGTATGTACTTAATGTATGGACAAATTTTTGTTTTTAAGATTATAAGTTTCTTTCACTAAACTTTGTATTTATTCTTTAATTCTCAGGTTTAAAATTTATTATCCACGTAAATTTCTTTACAAAATAAAACTGGCCTTGTTAAGTTAAAAGTTCCAAATAAGGCCAAATATTCAAGATTTATTCAATGTTAAAATTTTATGTTTATTTATTTATTAAGTATTTTATCGTGAAATTCGATAGCTAAAATGTTAATCAATACGTATACAAGACTGTTCCCCCCATATTTTTGCTGAATAAAATATTACGGACATTTAAACCTTAAAGTAGCCTTAATTGGGGTACTTACCTTAAGTTTATCCTTTTTATGCAATTTCTGACGCACTTTATATAATAAAATCTATACAATAATTGTATATAGGTTGTAGATGTCGCTAAATATTGTTTAAAACTGTCCAAATCCCAAACTAAATCTATAACTTCAACCACATTTACACAATCATACGGTATGAGATGCACGTGCCACTGGGGGCAACTTTGTAACATTAAAGAAAATATTTAAAATTATAATAATAAATGAATAATTTAAAACATGATTTAAATTCTTCTTACCTGTAACACGAATACATTTTTTAACAAAATTTTTAATTCCTCACCATGTGATATCGAAACATCTCGTAGCAAACTAAACTGAAATACATTTTGGCGATAACGATAATATATATCTAGCTGCTATTTCCTTTCGTTATAGATATATATTATAGTAACTTTATCGGTTTGAACAAGACATTAAAATAATTATTTTAAAAAATGAGAACTAGAAAGGCTAAACGATTTTGCATTTTTAATAAAAAAAAATAAATATACTTAATAATAATTATACTAAATATACTAAATAAATATTACCTAGATGCTACGTATATTAGTTATCCGTATATACGTATCCAAGTCTTCTTGGAAACGTATGGTACAATACTCGATATATAGACCAGTGTCGAAGCCTTTAAAAAAGGTAAATGGTAAAAAAATATATAGTAGAATGAAACCTATTGGAAAAGAAGAGAATATGCTAAAATTGGAAGAAAAAATAAATTACACTCCATCCGAGATCGGGAAGTGGGGGGGGGGGGGTTAAGGGTAAAAATCGGTTTATCGCGATTTTCGGCGAAACTACAAGTGCTATGGAAAAAAGTGAAATAGCAAAGTTGTATGTAACAAAAAGATCTACAACTTTTGTGTTTACACTTTTTTCACATAACCTCAAAATTTTTGTGGAAAATTCAAAAAACTAAGTTTTTGATTTTTTATTTTTCTTTAAAAAAAATTTTTTTAGGAAATTTGGTGAAAACTTGCCTTAGTATGTATCAAATACACTGTAATGTTTTGGAATTAAAAAATTTATTTTTTTACCTGATATTAATGTATTATCGAAAAAGCACCCTAATTTTCAAGCGAAAATTAACGCGTCAAAGGTCAAAATATCAGCTGTTTTAAAAAAGTCGGTAGGCTTTTTTTTCGTTGAAATCTCTACTTTCCGATAATGTAAAATAAAAAACGAAAAAAAACTCGAATCGAACATTTTTTTTTTTTTTTTCATCATTATGTACAATTAACTACAAACTATGATCATACTTGTGGAAGTTTGCAATGAAATGGAAGATTGTTGTAATGTTTCTTTTGCACTACAGAGCAGCACATTGATTCACAAAAATGTAGAATTAAAAAGAGATGATTTACAACTATTACATAAATTTTTCAACAGATATGATCCCTTTCCAGAGACTGATAGATAACATTATGTCAATATTTTCTGGAATTATTGGCAGCACTTCTGTAAATTGTTACGAAGCGTATGAAGAAGGAGAAAAATCTTTACAAGCTATTGTGGGAATGAATTTTGGCAGTGTCAAATTTAAAAGAAAAAATAAAGTGTTGTTTCTAAAAACCGTTCAATCTTCCGTTAAAGTAAACGGATATATTATAGCAATCGATCCGTTATTGCTATTTCAACGAATATATCTAATGATCGACAGTAAAAAAATATGCAGACTTATTTAAAATACGAACTTGCACCTTTTTTATTGTCACTTTTTACCGAAAATGGTCTCAGGAAAAACGTTAAATCTCAGCTCTATGAATTATTTGAGATTACACGCTTTGTCGCTATGTCGAAAAACATTATGCTGCAGGCAACCATTTCGTTTTTGACGGCTATCTCGAAATTGAAAAATCGGTAACTGTGACACCAGCACCAGCAGCTCATTCAACTAAAAAAGGAGAACGTAGTCGTAGAAAAACCTCAGACAATATTCCAAAGTTTCATTATCAAAACCATACTAAATACCATTTTTGCAGGAAAAAATTTTATCAAATGAGAAAAACAAAGACAAAATAATCAAAACGTTAATGGAAATATTACAGTCACAAGGATTTTTCTGTAAACAAGCAGAAGAAGATGCTGATGCTGATATAATTAAGACTTCGATAGAAATTGCCAGAGATACAAATAAAACTGTCATTGTTGTGGGTCAAGATATTGATCTTTTGGTCCTTTTGATTAAATTAAATATAATAATGACATTTATTTTCTTAAACCAGGTTCTGGAACTGTAAAAGATCAATTTTTCACGTCGAAAAGTTCCAAATATGAATCTTGCATTTGTATCATTGCATTTCTTGCATTGTGTTTAGGTTGCGATACAACATCTGGATTTGCCGGAAAAGGAAAAAAAAGTATCGTAAATTCATTATTAGGCTTTAAAAATTTGTCAAGTTTGGCAAACATTTTTTATGAAAAAGATGCAAATAAACAAGATATCGCAAAAAATGGATTACAATTACAAATGGATTACAATTACAATTACAAAAAAATTCTAATAAACACTCTTGCTTAAAATTATCTCATCTACATTTTTTATTTGAAACATTTTTTTCTACGGTGTACACATTTTTGATAAACCAATTTTTTCCGTTTTTTTTTTGGTAGGAAGGGACATTTTAGGGTGAAGCCAGGGAATAAAAGTGGTAAACTTTTTTGGATCTTTTTTGGGTCACCAAATTGACATTCTCAGCGAAATTCAGCTTGTTCGTATAATTTTTAGAGGTCAAATCTCTGACGACTGGACTAAGACATATAATGAATTGAGCCAACATAATTATTGTGTTAGGTAACATATAAACTCAGTAAAGGTAGAAAAATCTTCTAAAATTCTTCTAAGCAAACCAAAGTTTGCGCGCAAAATTTAAATCACCTGTTTTGAATTATCCAACTCAGCTGTGGCATGGTCATCGAAGTGCGAAGTTGCACTAAGAACTTTTTTTTGTCCCTTAGATATCGACATAGTCCACTATTAAAATACAATATTTTAATTATTTCACAATTTCTAGCTCGGCTCGGCAAAGTTAATAAGTTTAATTTTAGAGGCTACTGTCACAAAGTAAAGATATGTGTCACCAAGTAGCCTCGCTTGTATATTCTGTTATGTGGCAACTTCATAGGGCGTAATGGCCACTTATTGGAAAATTTATTATATTCAGAAAATGATTAGTCCAACCACAACCAATTTTTTATATTCACTATAATAGATTAGTTAACGTGCATATTTTATTATTTAGAACAATAGTCACCAGTGCCCTCTATATATGCTACTTTAAAGTAATGTTAATAGGCATCTGCCTTTGTGATTATCACGTTAGCACACGTTAGGTGACGTTAGTGTCTCAATATTATTTCCCTTTCTTAAAAACAAATACCACTTTACTAATTATTTATTGATACTGTATTGCCTGTATTACACATTATGCATCATTTATTATACATTTGTTTTAGTTGTTATTTTTCTCAGATTTTTTATTTTTACTTTTACTGTTACAAAATGTCATATGTCTTTGTTCTGTTGTCATTTTGAGTGTTTGTTGGTTCCGTTCAATGACGTATAATATAGTTCCGTTCCCTTCCACTTAATATAACCAACAAAAAGATTAGTTTCCCGCTATTTTGTTTATTGTTTGTTTTTTAACTAACAATTTCAACGATATTTTTTGAAAGAAAATTAAAAAGTCTTGATTTTACGAAAAAAATAGCTTAAAATGAAGCCACAGAAGAAAGTAATAATCACAATAGCTTCCCAGAATCAAGTAATGCATTTTAATTTACAGGTTATGATCGAATTTTAGACTAATAAGTGTTTATTTTTAGGAAAATATTAGAGAGAGTAGACGGACATTTAAAGACCTGCAAAGAGATGCTTGTGATAAAGAAAATCTTATAGGAAGGCAAAGTCAGAAAGACTCTACAAGGTAAGCATTTTTTGTTAACTAATAATACCAAATGCTTTTGATTGCCCTATTAAACCCATAAAGTACTGGTAATATTGTATTTTAGACTAAAGCGTGAGTTTTAAGGCCTCTATTTTTGTTTCACATGTAAGAAAAATAAAAAAGTCAAAATTATGGCCTACTGAACTGAATATTTTTTATTATTTACTTGGAAGATTAATGCTACATTTAAGAAATGTTTGTAAATAAAAAATGAGTCCTTCCTACAATCCTTACAGCTTTATACCACCTGAAGCTATTCTAGATACCACCAACATTTATTAAATGTAGAAAATAATCTGCTTTGCACAATGTAATATCTGTATTTTTTTTATACTCCACTTATTTTTCTGTAATATGAAAATTATCAGCAATGATTTCAAAATCATGTCTGTTCATCATGTCTGTGCATTACAGATGATAACAATACTCAAATATTGAAAAATACAATACACCTTGTCACATCTCTTCATAATTTGATATAACTATTAATACTCAGTGTCCCATAATCAAAGAATATAGACGCTTATATAAGTGTATATTCTTTGCTGTAATCATCACATTATATTTATATACTTACAGCTCAACAATGTTTTTCTTATTAATTATTGTTAAGTAATACACTCTATTCACTGAGTTTAGTCTAAACTGTCTAGTAAATTTAGGATTTAGTTTTGTGATATTTTGATAAAATTTTGACTATTAGAAATCTAGAAGTTACTATCCAACCAAGCACAAATATTACTTGTAATGTTTGAAGGTTTATTTTTTTTAATTTTTTTGTCATTTATACGTTAATACAAATGGTATGTGTTTAATCAAAATGAATGAATATATAGGTATGTCTATTATTCATCATTATTCCAATAAATATACCAGTGGTACAAATTTTCCTCAAAATATTCCCAAGCTCAGTGAATGGACTATAGTCTATTGTTTCTACTGGACCAAATTTTGTTAATTTGATTGATATCTATATGCATCTTTTTTTCCCTAGTGATTCTGGAAAGTTGGAACCAGTAAAAAAGAGGCGCCAGATGTCAGATAAGAGTGTGCAAGTAGGAGAAGCACCTATAACTGCTGAGGACTTAACATCTGAAGAAGCTTCTACTGATTATTGGAAGAAACTAGCTGAAACTAGAGCAAAATCTTTAGATGACAGTTTACATGAAATTGAAAAATTAAAGGATGATATATCTACATTAAAAGAAGAGAATAGGATTTGCAAAGAAATGTTGGAAGAATCAAAGAACTTGGTGGAAGTATTACAGGTAAGAAGTATTAGTAGTAAAAATAGTCACCTTAATAAAAATGATCCACATGAAAGTTTTCAACAGTTTTATTTTCTATTATTTCTATTTGTACTTTTACCCTGTCTTCTGCACTGCTAACAATGTTGAACAAGAAATAATGGGACATCAATTTTAGATTATAGATTTCCTAGCCAAAGTCTAGATAAAGGCCAGGTTCCTCCATAAACCGTATTTTTTTAAAAATAAATTTTATTTATAGTACAGAAGATATTGGAAAATCATAACTTTTTACAGGTGAAAGTACATACATTAAACTACTTGAAATTTTTTTCCTTTTTTTAATGGCAGCTCTGAAAATGACCCAGACCACAGCCACCTTTACTTCCAAGCCATGAAGTAAAAAAGGCAACACCACATTCTATGAAGTCGGTAGTCCGATAATCAGCTGTAAGGTCTACCAGAATATCAAACTAATTTGAATTTTAGGAAACTGATATTTTGAAAACTTCAATTCATTACAGAAATATTTTTAGGGAAATTAAATTAATAAAACCTTATATATACCTAGTAAATATATATAAAGTTTTATTATTATTTAGGTTATATTATCAATAAAATAATCACTAGAGTAAAATTTATTGCACTTAAAATACAGTGTCAAACAGTTAGTCCTACAATCAAATTGTATCAAACTTAGTGTATCTATTATGATTAAAAAATTCATCCTTAGAAATCAGACACAATATAAATATGGTTCTAAATTAATCTAATTGAAAATTAAATATTTTACTATTTACTTATAACTTTTGTTGAATTTTCATACTTAGGTATACAAAAGTAGCAATTTTAAATATGAATAGGCTTGTTGTCATATAGACCAAGTTAAAAGAGGTATACATGAAAAATGTGTTGAATGTAACATACCATTTATAACTTGTATATCGATTTAAAATAGCCTATATTCTTAAAAGATTTTTGAATGTAATACTCAAATTTGTTATCACTTATCTAAAAAGCAGATCTAAATGAGAAAGTAAGTTCTCTAATTGTGACCATCTTGTTAATTTACTATATTGTAAAATCCATTTCAAATCATTACCACTTAATCTATTCTTACCTACATTGACGATTACACTAAAATTACTGCTAACTATTACACTACATATTACACAAATATTATCACACTTGTGTCCCAACTGATTAATGTTTAATACATAGAAATATACACAGTCACTTGTAATTTTACTTGTCCAGTTTTTCAATGGGATATTATTGTCTATAAGTCTAATTGTCATAAATAAGTTATCTCTTGTTCCCTCTTCGTATGCAAAAAGTTTCTTCTGTCTTCGGGATTCCTTCTTTCTTTTGTACGATGAACAGTTACATATGATGGTACTTCAGGAAATATATTAGGAACTGCATTGCCTTTTAATTTGGGAAATATTAACTTTTCAATGTGTACATTTCCATCTTTATCTTCTCATTGTTCAGTCCGATGAATATCATCTTCATGAAAATGTTTGGCACATACTATGGAAGATTTCGTATTTGTACAGCCTTCTCTATGAATAGAGCATAACCCAGTATACCTTCTTTGGGGATCTTTGGGAAACAAAAACGTACTTTCTGCCTGTTTCGTTTTTTAAAGTACTGGCATAATTGGTTTTGCAACCAGGTACACAACAATGCCAGAGCATCTGTAACAAAAAACAAAAGTATTATTATTGTTGTTTTTAGTTTACATATTTTGTAACAAGAAGCAAAAGTATTATTATTTTCAGTTTGTTTTGTAGGTTATATTTATACTTGCCTTTTAAATTGTCATTAAGAATCTTCTAAAAGTTCTAAATTTAATGAAATTTCACTTATATTAATATTTTCTAATTGATTTAAACACAATTTACAAATAAAACATTCGAATAAAGTTAAAAAAAACACAAAATTCAACAAACTTTACAAGCCTTCCTATATGAAATGTTAAACAAAACAAACCACAGTCGGACTACCACGCGTTGTTGCCAAATTTCTACTTCATGGCTTGGAAGTAAAGGTGGCTGTGCCCAGACTAATCCAATTTGTTTTTGGGTGTCGTCATTTCTTGTAAACAAATTATGCAAAAGCAAGAAACTTAATGGTTTCTATATTGAACTGGCTATGGTTGGTGCTTCTTCTTCTTCTTTGGGTGCCATGTCCGTATTCAGACGTTGGCCGTCATCATGTTTACAATTTCCTGAAACCTTTCTCTGTCGGCTGCTGCGCGAAATAATTTTTCTACTGTGAAACCACACCATTGTCTAATATTACGCAGCCATGAAAGTTTCTTTCTACCAATCCATCTCTTTCCTTCCACTTTTCCTTGTTGGTGCTACAATGAATCATTTTCACTGAAAAAAATAATAAAATGGCTGACTTTTGAATTTTTCAACCCTTTTTCCACTTTTAATTGTTTATAACTTTTTTAAACAGCAATAAATATTTTTGGTTGTGCCTTAAAATGCTGTATGGTTCATTTTGATAAGTGCAATAGTTTTGAAATATGGGTGACACTCAGTTGAAAAAACGTGGTTTTGAGAAAAGTCCATTAAAAGTAAACAACTGCCGTCACCTGGCTCAAAAGTATTCTCAGGCAATTTTTGAAGAAAAAAAAATTTCAAATCATTTTTTTTTAATTGTTTGGAGGTATCTGACCTTAGTATGGCGCTATCAAAAGTTTTTTTAGTTGATTCAAAATTTTTGCTTGAAGTTCTTTTGAACCTAAAATATTGTACCTTTCATAAAACTCTTATCTATTATTTTAAAATTTCAGGCTCAGTAGATTTTGTAGAATGTTTGTGGAATATTTTCACAAGGAATCTTGATATTGTATATTTATGTTTGACTTCATCGAAATGGTACTCTTCACTGGTAATTTTCTTTAGATGATAAAATTCATGATTTCAGTATCTCAGTTTTAAATATCTGACATTACGAAACCAATTTTAATATACCTCACATTATAACACAATGTTAAATTTTATTTTAACTATAAATTTGACCTGTGTTGTGTGTTGTAAGTGAGCCTGGACTTCATAGAGTTAATATTGAATTTATTTATCCCTTAACTGCTTGCCATTGAACAAATCTATAAAAATACCAAAAGATATCAACTTCAATCTTACTGAATAGTGTTCAGTACTGATCTGAATTGTCAAATTTGCCTTTATCTATTTTAAAGTCAGCACATAGAATAATTAATACTTTTTTTAGGAAATGCTTAGTGAACAAGACGATCCAAATGTTCCAGATGAGTAACATATTTTTAATTAAATTGTATAATATATATAATTTAGTTTAACTAATAACTACTTAGTTACCTACACTATTAGTATAGTTTTAATTTAACCAGTATGACTGCATCACTTTCGAATGATCTAATATTTGAAGTTTACTGTAAGTATCTAAGTATAAGCGAATTATTAAGTCTAGTTTTGTATTATTATGTAATCTAAAATGTATTTTTGTACTTTAATAAACACTACATGGCATGGAGTGAGTTTATTGAAAAACTTTTTTTTATTTGTTTTTAATGCTCTACTGTGGAGGGGATACTATTAACAATATCAAACTGAAATTTCAACATTACTAACCTTTCTCTTTTGAGTAACTAATACAACACCCTTTGTTGTATTTTATTCATAATTTAAACAAATTTCTTATAAATAAATAATTTACAAAAAAGGATGCAGTTTGCAGCAATTAAGATTTTTATATTATTTTTCTTATGGTTGCATCTTCCTATCAGATTAGCTTAAAAAAAGTGTAACCACCACTTCTTGATGTTAAAGGTCTGGAAGTAATAATTATCTGGATGGTACCAAATGACAACAGCATTCAGTTGTTTTGGAGAAATTTACTGTAAATGAGGATTTGATGTTGAAACCAAGACAAACATCATGATCAAAAAAGAAAACTTGGACATCTTTTTTTCAACCAGAACAAACAAGAAAACCTGATTATAATTGTGTAACCTCCACATTTAATATTAAAGAGGCTAAGAAAATAATTAAGTAGTCCTAGCTCAGATGGAAGTTGTTGCTTGGACTATAAATTCCTTTGAAAACTTAAAAAGGAAAATATGGGGTTTCCCAGGGGTTGGTATACTGTAGTAATTAAAAAACTTTACAATAAAGTATGAACTTCAAATGTAATTGGCATAGTATGTTTAATAAAAGATTAAAATCAAAAGTCCAAATGGATTAAAATTGTTCAGAACAAATGTTTTCAGTCTTATGAACAATCTTCAGTAAACTTAGAAGTCTTGTAAAATAACCTCATCACAAAAGAGTGCATATGTCTAGATCACAAATTAAATATTTAAAATTATGAATTGAAACTACATATTGTCAATGTTTAAGATTCACTTTTCAGGAACACTATGGCTCCTACTTCAAACTTAATAAAAACTTCTAGATGGACACAAATAGTTACAACCTTCAAGGTCATTCTATCGGGTATATGGAGGAATGACTATTCAGTTGTCTGAAATTCAGGGAAGTGTTAAAATTGGACATTAATTTTAGTTTGCAACGTTGCCAGATAACTTCCTAATTCGTAAAATAGTTATTTGTAGAGTTTTTATATAAAAAAACTAAGAGATGAAATAATTTTTCATTAGAATGAATAACGTAAGTGCTGTAAAAAATCGGATTCTGAGTACACAAACTCCTGAAATTATATACTCGGTAACTTGATATATTTATATTATAAAAAATATATTATTGTTTTGCAACCTTGATTACAATTTTTTTGTTATAAATCAAATATAAAAAGAGGTGCTGCTGTGTAAAGGCATGAAATAATCAAATAAGAGAAAAAATTTATATAATATTAAATGTTTATAACATCACTAAAGAGGGTCAAATCGCATCAAAAAAAAATCGCTAAAGAGGGTCGTGAGGTTGAAAATGGAGAAACCCTTAGATTCTCCACACTTAATAAACGACAAATGCATATGATCAAGGTATCTTACGGAGGCAGATATATAATTTCTATCTTATCGATCAACAAGTTCCCACAATTAAAAAAATTCATCAGAAATTTCTAAGCGAACTGAATCAGCAGAAAGTAGAGAAAGTATGATAAGAGAATTTCATAAACTTGGGTTTCGCTGGAAAAAAAAAAACAGCCGACAATAGAAAAATGTTGATAGAAAAACATGAAATTAGACATTTAAGGCTGCAATACCCGAGGAACATTAAAAAGCTAGAGTAAAAGAGTCATCTCTCAAGAGTAGGGAGGACGAATTAAGTTTCACAGCACTTAGGCCACAATTGACCCATTGTGCATCCCCCAGGGAGCTGTCGCCCTTAGCTCATTGTCCATCCTGCCATTTCTAGGAAGGTGGACAAGTCACCAGGAGACATCTCTCTTATAGAATAGAATAGAAATATGCTTTATTGTCACTGAAAATTATTGAACAATTTTATGGACAAAGCTAAAAAATAAAACAGTCAAATAATACAAAAAGTATAAAACAAAAACAATATAGTAAAAAACAGAATAACACAATTTTAAATTAGTAAAATTATTGTATAACCTACATAATTTGTACAGACAACAACAAATGAGACAAATTGTAGCCACTGCTTGAGACACCCAAATGTAATTATAAACAATACTAATTTTGTTTCTTTGTTATACATTAAGAAACTCGTCAACTGAATAATATGGTCTTTTTGAGAGATAGATTTTTGTCACCTTACGAAACTTAATGAAGGATGTTGCGGATTTAATTTCTCTTGGAAAGTGATTATAAAGTTTCTTTGCACGATATAGAATAGAATTCTTTACTAGCTGAGTGGACGGGATCGGCAAATAAACGTTACAATCCGAATTTCTAATGGAGTAGCCATGGTCAGGTCTATCGGGAAAAATGTTTAGATGCTTTCGAATCAAACAAACCGTTTCCAAAATAAATAAAGAGGGAAGTGTCAAAATTCCGTGATTTTTGAAGCAGGTCTTGCAATGAGTTGTTTGTTTGAGACCAAATAGATAACGGATTGCTCTTTTTTGCAACTTAAAAATAGTATCAAATTGGGCCGCTGTACTAGAACCCCAAAATGGAAGCCCGTATCGAAGATGGGACTCGAACAATGAGAAATATGCCATTTTGGCAGAAGATAAATTTAGTTCCTTCGAAACAGATCTTATTGCAAAGCAAGCTGAGGCTAGTTTCTTCCTTAAGGAGTCAGTATGCAAGGACCATTTGAGATCACTGTCAATGAGAATACCTAGAAATTTCACGGAATTTACGATATTGATTTGGCTCTCATTCAAAAGCAAGGGTTGCATGACTCCTTTATAAGATAATGCTACAGTCTTATCCACGTTAAAGCTAAGTAAGTTGGAGTCTGACCAAGCCTTGATTATAAGTAAATCATCGGTTATAATTGAATGAAGCGTTGAAATATGTGGCCTTATGTGGGCAGACGTGGACCAGGACTCGCCGAACGCGTGCTCTCGTATTAACGATAACTCCGGGCATTCACATAGGACATGCTGTACAGTTTCGTCTTCTCGTTCACACTTTCTACATAGAGGTGTGTCTGCTAGTCCCAGTGTGTGGAGGTGTTTGCTTAGTTGATAATGACCAGTTAAAAAACCAACTGACAAGCCTAGGTTTTTCCTGGTCATTCCCAAGTACTTCTTTGATGATGACTCTTCAAAGTTACTTAGAATTACCCTGGCAAGTTTACATCCTTGCCCTTCTTCTCATATTTTTACGGTTTGCGTATGGGAGTGACATTTGACAATTTCCGCGATTGTTGTAGTTGACCAACGAAAAAGATCTCCAGGTCCTAAGAGTCTTAGGGCTGCCGCCTTCCTAGCCAATTGGTCAGCAATGCGGTTGCCTTTATTCCTATTGTGTCCTTTAACTCACCTCAGGATGATGGTATTACCATTCGAAGCCTGAATTAGTGACTCGTATTACTAACCCTGATGTGACAGGTGGTCTATTCAAGGTTACTAGCGCTTGTCTGCTATCTGTGCAGATCATTATAGTTTTCCCTGCTATACCTTTTCGGGTTATCTCTTTTGCAGCTATGGAGATACCAGCCAGTTCTGTCTGAACTACGCTGGCATTTTTGCTCATACCCCACTTTATTATTAGATTCAGTGATCTGGAGTATTTCCCGCATCCTGAGTCTTCTTTCATTTTGGAGCCATCGTTGTATATGCAATAGGCATTTGCCCCGTTTGTCTCCCTATACCCTCTTGTTTTGATTTTGTAGGGTTTGTTAAATATAAACTTTAGTTGAATTGAATCGCAACCTGCCTGTAGCAGTGGTAGCGCATCCAGCTTTCCCCGCCAGAAACGAGTTCTCAATTGTACCATTCCTAAATTAAGGTTTGCACCAGCTGAGCGCAGTCGCATCTTTGTCACTAGCGCCACCTCTTTGTCATATATACCTAGAAGCGTGATGCCAATGATCAACTACATTTGGTACGTGTTGTTTTCATGGCACCTGTTATATTTATGCAAGCCATCCGCTGAATATGGTTTAGTTTGTTTATCGCTGTTGCTTGTAGCACTTTTGGTACCCAAGCAATAGCTCCGTAAGTTAGCATTAGCCTAATGACAGCAGTGTAGATCCAGGCGATCACCCTGGACGAAAGGCCCCAGTTACGCCTAACTGCCGACACTGCTCATAGGCAATATATGCTCTTTTAGCTCTACCATCTAAGCGTGAGTTCCATGTTAACTTCCTGTCAAGGGTAATACCAAGGTACTTCACCTCGTCAGAAAAATTTAGACTGTAGTTTAGAATCCTTGGTGGTATTAAGCCCGTGATTCTTGTTTTCCTGGTAAAGAGGACCATCTCTGTGAAAACCCATGTCAAAAGGACAACGTTTAATTATTGTTGGGGCAGAAAATGAAAAAGGTTTTGTTACTAGATCTTATTTGAGGTGGAAGCCGACGTCAAAATCTGACATAGTGTCATGAACTGTACAAATTTTAAAAAATGGTTGGTGTAACTTGCCTCCAAATAGTATAATAGTGTTGGATAATGCACCATACCATAATACACAGGAAGATAAATGTTCCATATCCTCATCGAAGAAGGCTTCGAGAAAAAATATTCCATATACTGCTTCTATGTCGAAGCCCGATCTGTATAATAAAACAAAACTGTATAAACCTCGTTATGTAAAATATGCAATCGATAAAATTATACGAGCCCAAGGACATGATGTATTTCGACTCCCACCCTATCATCCGGATTTGAACCCTATTGAAATGGTTTGGGCAGCTTTGAAATCCTATGTGGGATCCAGAAATGTAGACTTTACATTAACGTCAATACAGCAGCTATCGGAAAAAACTTTTTAAATAGTTCCTGTAGATAAATGGAAAAAATAAATGAAATAGTCATCGCAACTTAATGTGAATTAATATCAAAAGAGCCACTAATTGATATAGTCGTGGATAATATTGTTATCAATGTAGACAAAGGTTAAAACAGCGAAGATTTTTAATCAAATTCTGACA